ATCTCAATACTTGGATATCTCTAAATTTGCCCAGATGGCCTTCTGCTTTTTTTGACACAAGTGTGTTTTGTACATATTATACACACCAATTTATACTACACTGCATTTATATAATTTTCACTAACATAAGTTAAAGAATATAAGATGTAAGAAATATAGATTAATGCTACTTCACAAGGCTTTTAAGATGGATTTTTTAAAAAATTGTACAGATAAATGTGAAATAAATATATGCTTTAAATGCACAATTATTGCCATGTTGCATAATGAACTATTCTGAGGACCTGAGATTTATCATGCCTACTTACATCATGTATTTGTGACCTCTCAAATTTGCTATTGCTAAATGTTCTTAAATTGCTCTATACTATATATTATAGTCAGATGTGGATGCTACAGTGATTTTCCAAATGTTACTATGGTTCATGGTTCACAAGCTATCTGTTTGGATATTGTAGGTGATCCCGATATGTGTCTCTGTGTGTATGACTTTTTATTTGTAATAGCAAAACTCTACCTTCGTTCCATCATTTTCTTGAACTCACTCCTTGCTAAGAACCCACGACACATAGCTTGGGTACGTGTAATCAGCTGTGCTAGCTTTTCATCTCTCATCTCCTCCAGAAGACCCAGAAGACCAGCTTTGAAGAACACCTGGGGCGTGAAGAGAAAATATAATAAAGAATTGTTCCCATAAATAATGTTGCATTCATGAGTCAAAGAGTCATCTTACCTTGGTGTGGCCAAATTTATATTGTGTATGATCAACATCAATGGATCCAAGAAGTTTCTCAGAAGCCTTCTTGCTATCTATGAATTGTCCCTCTGGAATGGCACTTGCATTTAGAACTTTGTATCTGTTAAAGAAAGCAGAGGTTTCAGCTGCTTATCATTGGAAGCCATAATATTAAGAAGACTCTTGTGGATGAAACTCATTTTGGTAAATAACCACAGAAAAGATTATCAGACTACCTTTCCCTTTCTTCCCCCCCCCCCCCCCCCCACATACACACAGTCACAGTCTGATTCTGTAATGAGAATCTATGATGTCTATGGGGAGGATCAAAACTTGTATATGACACCGAAGTATGTGGAAAAGAGCATGAGACTTGCATTATGACGCATTTCCACCAACTTGCCAGTTTTGCACCCCCCCAACACCTCCCAGGTGACACTCTTGATAAGAGCTCTGTTTAATAGCATCTATTACTAAGAAGGCTTAGGTCACACACAAGAACTCTACTAAGTATCCTGCTTTCAAATGGAACATCTCTCTATAGCCAATGATGGCAGCAAAATGTAACTGTTTCTTCCTGAGTTTTCAATTCAGAGAACTGAAAACTTGCCTCTAGTGAAGGGGAGGTAGTGGGTATCTGTTCACTGTTTGATACGAGTCATTTCAATCAGTGTGAGAAGAAACTCTCAGACCTACCAGCTATGACTACTTCCCAAAAGCAAAAAGATTGGCCAATGTGATTGTGTTTGCTAGAGAGTTTTTACCAGTGTCAACTTTTCATCATGCTTCCAAATGCTTTTGTTAATGCAAAGTAATACATATAAGTATGTTGAATATACTCAAGTCTGTGCAAATAAAAATCTGAAACTCTTGAACCAAATGCATAATTCTTCATCATATATTCCAAATTCCATTCTGTAACATGAAGAGTTACAAACAGGAGTAATAAGATTTTGTTGTGATTTTTTCCCCTTATATTCTTAATGTAAGTTATATGATTTTATTTATTTATTGTGCCTTCCAGTCAGTCCTGACTCCTAGCAACTACATGGACACATCCCTGCAGTTTTCTTGGCAACATTTTCTCAAATGGCTTACCATTTCCTTTGTCCTAGGGCTGAGAGAGAGTGATTGGCTCAAATTCAGCCAGTTGGCTTCCATGCCAAGGCAAGACTAGAACTTGGGTGTCTCTGCTCCTAGTCCACAGCCTTAACCACATTACCATATGGCACTAGTGATATTCAATAATTCAAAGCCACTAAAATGTATTGCTGCAAGGTAGAGACATCAAAAACAACTAAAGACCAAACAAGTCAGTAGCTGGAAAATTGTCTGACCTCTGTTTGAAGTCACCATAAATGATCCTGCTGGGGAACCCCTTCCTGCAAATTCGGATACCTTCTAGTACACCATTACATCTCAGTTGGTGCAAGACAAGCTCATGTTCCATGGCACCTTAGAAAACCAAAGAAAAAAAGCAGTTATAATGCATACTGTAGGTGGATTACATTTTTCTTTTTAAATCAAAATACAGTTCTGCACCTTACCAGGAGTTTTAGTTTCATTGGGGATGAGGCAGCGCACAAAATGAGGGTGAGTGCTCCTCAGATTGGTCATCAGCTTGTTTAAGTTCTCCTGTGAGATTTGAAAGCAAAAACTTATTTTCTTAAAAAAAAAAAAAAAGCATCTTTATCTATTAAGAAAAAACTAAGGAATGAGCTCCAAA